CCCGGCCGGGCCGGAGAGCCTGGGGTCGCGCTCCCCGGCCAGCAGCCAGCCCTCCCCTGCCCCCACGTTGCCGCACAGGAGGGAGAAAGGGCACCGGAAGTGTCCGCGCTCTAACCCTCCGACGGGAACAGGTGACCGGAAGCGGCTTTCCCCTTTTCCAAGATGGCGACCTGAGATTTTAAAAACGGGCTAAGGACGCGCCCGCCTCAGGTAAGGCTGACGGGAACCGAGCGCGCCATTTTGGTTAATTGGGATCCTGTTAGCGGGTTGCCGCACAGGAGGGAGAAAGGGCACCGGAAGTGTCCGCGCTCTAACCCTCCGACGGGAACAGGTGACCGGAAGCGGCTTTCCCCTTTTCCAAGATGGCGACCTGAGATTTTAAAAACGGGCTAAGGACGCGCCCGCCTCAGGTAAGGCTGACGGGAACCGAGCGCGCCATTTTGGTTAATTGGGATCCTGTTAGCGGCCAGTAGGGCCAAGAGCCGGTTACAGAGCACGTGACGCCGATGGTTCCGTCCTCTTACCGGAAGCAGCCTGTCGCGCACCGGAAGTGCTAGGCAAGTGGCCGATTTCTTGGCCCTCCGCGCCGCGAGAGGGACCGCGAGGTCCCCATTCAAGCGAGCAGGAGCCGTAGCTGTGACGCTACTTCCGGTCCTAAGATGGCGGCGCCCACGCGGCAGCTGCGCAGGCCGGCAGAGGAGACAGACCCGGCCCAGGAGGCAAAGCGGCCCCGGGCGCAGCGGCGGCGGCTTCTGGTGCTTCTCGAGGGAGCGAGTCTGGAGACCGTTAAGGTGCCGGGGAACCGGGCGGGCTGGGCCTGGCGAAGCTCATCGCCCCCGTCTCGTTCTCACGCTCCCCTCACTGCTCTGGCTGCAGGTTGGGAAGACCTACGAGCTGCTGAACTGCGACAAGCACAAATCACTGCTGCTGCGGAGCGGCCGGGACCCAGGGGAGGTGAGGCCTGACATCACACACCAGGTACGACCCCTGCGGGAGGTGATTATGCGACAGCTACCCAAAAGGGAACGTTTTCTCTGGTCTCCCCGTTAAGGAGAGATCCGCTTGTTATTGAATCCTTCCGTGGCTATTTAAATTTAAAAATCTCGTTACTTATGTAAACGACTTTCCCTTTACGTCTTGCTACAGCACATAGGGTTGCCAGGTGTCCAGTTTTGAAAAGGCCGGGCAATATTTTAGCTTTCTGTGCAGGAAACAAATTAAGAAAATATAAATGTCCAGTATTTTCTAAATAAGATGTAAATAGATGTAATATCAAGTATGTCCGGTATTTTTGTTGAAACCATCTGACAACTCTAACAGCACAGTAAGTGCAGCTTTTTGGACTCTTTCCTCACTACAGCCTTAGCAGAATAGTCCCTTCCTGGTCATTGTGCCCAAACCCAGGTGCCTTTGAGTTTATCCTCCTTTTTAGCATCACATTCTCTAGTGTCATGTTCTTTCTCCATTTTGTGCTTTCTCACTTAAGAGCCTCTTAATGCTCATGGATAGTCCCTTGAACCGGGCTGGTCTGCTGCAGGTTTACATCCACACCCAGAAAAATGTTCTGATTGAAGTCAATCCCCAGACCAGGATTCCCCGAACCTTTGATCGATTCTGTGGTCTAATGGGTAAGAGGTTCAAACTGGCTCTTGATTTTTTTTCCCCTCCAGCTCCTGGCTTTATGACCCTGTGATCCTATAGCTTGTCTTTATTTTATCATCACCTTTCTCTCCTCACGCTCTCCCCCCCCCCCCGGTTTAGGGTGGGGGAAGAGGCTTTCAGAATGAAGCAACATAGGATGGAAGGAAGCCATAAATATTCAGGACTCACATTTTTTAGAAAACATTGAAAGATCAATATAAACTCAGATTTGAAGGTCAGACTAAATGAGCAAGCATGCTGGTCCCTTTTGATCTGCACATTGCAGACCAGATCCACAGCCACCCAGCTGCTGAGAGAGACCCAAATCCTTTTGCTAAGTTAGGGAAGTCCACATATCCTGATGTAAAGACTGCTACAGAAAATCCACAGTTTACACTAGTTTAAACCCATGAGTTGACTCTGTTGCAGAGGAAGGCAATACAGAAAACAAACCCTGGGTCTGTTCACATGTCAGAGCAGAACCTTCTGTGAATCTGGGGATATAAACACCAGTTAGAGATGGTTTGGGAGAGTGGGAGGAGAGCTGTTGCCACAAGGGAAGGTTCTGCATTGCCCATGCATTGGAAATCATAAGTTTCAGACATGAAACTTTAGCCTTTTTCCAACTCAGCTTGCTGAAGAATGGATATTCTAATGTTGATATGAAACTTCCTCATTCTTTCTCCTTCCAGTTCAGCTGCTACATAAACTCAGTGTCCGTGCAGCTGATGGACCCCAGAAACTATTGAAGGTAACAAATTTCCTAACAGTTGAGGGGCAACTTAATGATTTTGTGGTGCTCATTGAGAACTGAGAATGTGGTAGAAAGAGACTGTGCTACTGTACAGAAAAGTTCAAAAGCTTCAGAGGGGTAGCTGAGTTAGTCTGTACAGGATAAACTTAAGCAAATAGTATGTTAGTACTTTAAAGTGCTACCACACTATTAGTTGTTTAAGTTTATCCTGTACAGAAAAGTTGAATCCCAAGTTCTCATCTCTAAACCTCCAGCTAAATTTGCTTCCACATGCAGGTCATCAAGAATCCAGTGACTGATCATCTTCCTGTGGGCTGCATGAAGATAGGCACCTCTTTCTCCGTCCCCAATGTTACGGACGTGCATGAACTGATTCCCACATCAGAGCCTGTTGCAGTTGTTGTGGGAGCTTTTGCCCATGGCTCGGTAAGGGCAGTGGAGGCTGATGCATCTCTTTTCCTATATTTGCCTGGTGGAGCAGGAGACCTCTCTGTGCTGTTAGCAGGATAGTCATCATTTGCTAGCAGGATAGTCCCTTTCTGTTTTCTACAGGAATTGTCTTGAAACTTTGATCATATGCCACACCCTTGTTTTTCTTCACCTGAATACAAGGTGTTGTGGGTCAATAATAGTTCCAACTTGGTTCAAGAGTGGGTGCATATGAGTTTTGGGTGGATTGCCCTCTATAGCGTGGACTGTTAGCAGGATAGTCATCATTTGCTAGCAGGATAGTCCCTTTCTGTTTTCTACAGGAATTGTCTTGAAACTTTGATCATATGCCACACCCTTGTTTTTCTTCACCTGAATACAAGGTGTTGTGGGTCAATAATAGTTCCAACTTGGTTCAAGAGTGGGTGCATATGAGTTTTGGGTGGATTGCCCTCTATAGCGTGGAAAGTACTAGAAGCGTGCCTCAGGATTGTCAGTGGCTGGGGGTGTTAACTAACTGGAGAGCAACATGGATTGTTTTGGTTCCTTCTCTCCCCAGCTGAATGTTGACTACACAGAGAAGATGATCTCCATCAGTAACTATCCCCTTTCTGCTGCCCTGACATGTGCAAAGATCACCACAGCCTTTGAGGAGGCTTGGGGAGTGGTGTGAGCCTGCCATACTTGTCTCTGAAGTTTGACTGTTTGACCTTTCTAGAATTGGTAGCTTTTTTTTTTAACTCATGCATGTGTGGGGAGTATTGAGTTAGCCTTGGCTTAAGGTTCAGTGGTGGAGTTAAGGGCTGAGCTCTTTCTATACAAGCTGCTGCCATGGCTGAAGGCTAACTGGCACCCCTCTGGACTGTTCTCTCCATATTAAAATCACTTTTGATAAAAATTTGTTTGTGCTGCAACTTTACCTGAAGGCGAGTAAAGGGACAGGAGTGATGCTGGAGGGTGTCTGCCTGTACTATGACCTTTACTGCCATAAACCTATCCTTCAGCAACAGTGAACAGCCTAATCAAGAGTAACTTTCACTCAGGACACACACTGATAAATGTGAGCCAAAGAGGTCTCCCACTGCAGATATTTAAGACTTGAACTCAGTTCCCTGGGGAAGAGGGTTCCACCCCTCCCACTCACCAGAAAAAGCAACTGAAGCAAGAGTGGGGCAGGGGGAAAATAACAGAACAACTTTTTTTTATCTGGGATGACTGAAGTAAAAAAATTCGAGGTGGTTCCATCCCCACATAGTGGTGGTGTTTAGTGCTTTACAATCATCTGAATTCAGCAGAAAGGAGTGTCCACCAGAGAGCAGCAGAGATAAGGCAACATGTAGAGGGTGTGGGAAGTGGAGGGGCATTGCTCCCTGCACCCCTCACCAGTGGGGTCTCTGACCCTGTACTCTCTGTTCCCATCATCACATTGACAGAACGGTTGAACTTGAACACAGCAAACTTGGCAGGTGATGCTTCAGCAAGGGATGAGTCCATCACCTGTGACAGTTCACACACGGTACAAACTGAAAGGAAACAGGCACAGTCAAGTGTTAAGTATCCCCTATTCACATCTGTTACCCCATAAGCCTGACATATCTTTGCCCTCCCCTTTTTTGTTCTAATCCTCAGCTCTCCCTACTCCAGCTGTACCTCAGCCTTACCTTTTAACTGTTACTCTGCTTTCTTTAGCTTTTCTTTTCTTGGCACAAGTGCTCTGCGGATGTAAGGCAACGTGAGGAATAAAGTGAGGAATAGTATGTGGCCTACAAAATAAATAGATGTATACACCTGTGGGGGGGGGAGAGAGGGAGTTAGTGGCTACTTCACATGCTGATCTCTTTCCCCCTCAGCCCCCCTAGTCTTTCTGCCTTTTTCAAGGCTCTTGTGTACCTTGACCCACTTGTCCCAGGCAAAAAGGCAGAATGGTACCAGTGAGTAACCCATGAACATCCAGTGGATAGCTTGCTGTAGCACATAGTAGAGAGGCTTCAGGATCGTTATGGAGGCCCAGGCCCTCAGAACAGGAGCGTCCTGCATGAGGTCCATGACCTGACAAAAAAAGGAAAGAGTAGTCAGTATGATATTCCTACTGTAACTTGGCATCTACAACCATTATGCACAAGGCCTGTGCATTCAATAATCTAAGAATTGGGATCTGTGCTCTTGCAGTGTTCTCAGATTTCAGACAGTTAAATGACTGAAAAAAGTTCAGTCGAGTTTTAATGTGAACTCTGAAGAGAACGACAGCTCTTGTTTACAGCTAATCACAGGCTATGTTTACAATAGAAAGGTTTGGTAACAAGTGCTGTCGAAGTGCAAAAGTCACTAAAAGTGAAAACCAGTCAAACCAATTTTTCTGCCTCCCATTTTCTGCTAGTACCCTGTGGTTAGAGAAAGCAAAGCAATGTGGGTAAACATCTCTCAGTGCAGTGTTGTGGTAAAGCAGAGCTGATCCCTGTGCTTCTTGGGATTCCCTCATAGGTTTGTGAGCTTTCCATGTTAAGGAATGGCAGCAGTAGAACAGAAGCACTCCAATGAATTGTTCTTTGTTTGTTCCCCAAAGGGGGCAGCTCACTCAGTTGTCAGACAGTTCCTGGAGTTTGAAAGGGGAGGGGTGCATACCTCCAGGGCAAAAAAAGAACACAAAACACTGAGGACAGCCATCTGAGCCATCTCCTTTTTTGAGGCATAAGCGATCTTGCACAAAAGAGGGTTTTTTTTGCGCAAAACAGACCTGTCTACCCTGTTTGTTTTTGCACAAAAACTTCTTGCACAAAAAGTATCGGCAGAGAATATGCAAATGACAGCACGACAAATGCTAATGAGCGCTCCATTGGCATTCTCTGTGCCAGCAAAAACTTGCAGTGTAGACAGCCATTGTGGGATACTGGCAGAAGCTAGTTCTCAATAGAACAGAGTCCACACTAGCTCTTTTTTGACAATAAACGGAGGGGAAAAAGATAAATCTTTCACTGGAGTGGAAGTTTTTTGTTGCCAGAAAACGGACACAAGTTGCATTACAGCGTAAATGCTCTCACTGTTTTGTCACCAAAAAGCAGTTTTTGGCAAGAATGTGTACCAGCAAAGACAAGCCCATAATTAACACCTGCAATTAAGCCAAAATTCATACATTAATTTTTAAATGCATTAATGGCATAGCTAGGGACACAGTGGAAGGCATTGAGTGTGTAGGGTGGGGGCTGAATGTCAGTTCCAGAATTGCAAGCTGGGACCAGGCAGGAGCAGCTTCAGTCTCAACCCATAGCTTTGTGGGGGAAGTAGAGATGGTGCAGATCCAGCCCATAACTTCCTGAGGGAGGTGGTGGTGGGAAGCTGTAACCCAAACTCCCCATCCCTGACCCTCAATTTGAAAACATAGAATCCCCCACAAATTGAAGTAAATTATATTGTAATATTGGTTAACAGTGTGATTAAAGCTAGGATTAATCACAAGTTTTTAAATCACTCAACAGCTTTACTATAAACTAACTTTCACTGTTGATAGTTTTAACAGATGCATCCAGACCACATGCTTGTAAGCTTCTCAGGTGCCAAGTGCCACAGGGTATGTCTATACTACAGAAGCAAAATGCAGGACAATGTAGCACTTTAAAGACTAACAAGATGGTTTATTAGATGATGAGCTTTCGTGGGCCAGACCCACTTCCTCAGATCAAATAGTGGAAGAAAATAGTCACAACCATATATACCAAAGGATACAATTTAAAAAAATGAACAAATATGAAAAGGACAAATCACATTGCAGAACAGAAGGGGGATGCGGGGGGGAGGAGAGGGAAGGTAAATGTCTGTGAGCTAATGATATTAGAGGTGATAATTGGGGAAGCTATCTTTGTAATGGGTGAGATAATTGGAGTCTTTGTTAATTCCCCTGCGGAGAGTGTCGAATTTTAGCCTGAATGCCAGTTCAGAGGATTC